TATTTTATACATCATAAGTAAAAATTCAGGCTGGCCTGTCACATTTATGTAGCCTAATCAGATTTGGATACTTTTGACATTTTTCACCTTTAATAAATTTGACATAAAAATCATTTAAAGTGTATAAAGCTATACATCTGCTGCAAAAATTAATATGAATTTTGAAAAAAAAGAATTCTTCAAAATAACTTGATGAAAGAAATTTCTTTAAGAGCCAATGACACATGCACAAAGTAATTGCTAAAAAGTTAAAACCCTACTTTAAATAGCAGCAAAATATTTTTTTCCAGAATATTTAATTCTATTTAAATATAGTATTAATGTGTATTAAACTTGGATATTCTGTTATTGAAACATCATAATTTGATAAAAAGAAAATTTTGTTGGATATATGTACAGCTTTATACAGCTTTATACTATTTCATCTATTAATAGAATACAAACAGTGAAAGTCAAATACTACAAATTCATTGAGAAAGTAGTTAAAAAGCCCTAATCTTTCTCATACCCTGTTTAACATCTGAATCATTTATGTATATAATAACCCTGTGTATTAAATAGGTTAAACATTTAGAATTTTTGGTTGATACAATATGCATATTATGATTCACTAGGAAGTGAAAAAAAACATTGAAAATTATCAAATTTTGATTAACAGTATACATTTTCCGATTATTGGAGAGAAAAAAAAAACACTGAAAAAACCACTAACTTTTGGTTAATACAGTCTGCATTTTCTAATTCACTGGTGAAAAACAAACATTGAAAATTATTAACTTTTGATTATCAGCATGCATTTTTTTCTGATTATTGAAGAAGAAAAAACAAACTGAGAAAAATTGAACTTCGGACAACATATTTTTTTAAGTGGTGCAGTGTTAATAATAAATGAGTTGACTATTTACATTTTCTTAGTTAACAGACAAAATTTGAAATAAAAACAAAATGCTTAATGACAAATTAATACATACATTTTACTGGGGAATAATTAACACATACATGTCTATCATAAGGCTTAGACTTGCCTTAATTTTCATTTAAGATAGAAATATACAAATTGTGATCTATTGATAGAATCGAAATAATTAAAATGGGTCAAATATTTTTTGACATATAAATAGTTTTATTCAGTGAATGATTGAGAAGGGAACTAGATGCTGTAATATCTAAACAAATTTATCATGAAAATGTTTTTTTAATTTACAATAAATTCTTACAGCCCTATGCTGTATAAAGTCGGATCGGTTTGTAGAAATTGCAATTTTACATGTCGCCAAAATTTGGATCTCGAAAGCCCTACAAATAGCAAAGGACAATTCCAAATACAGAGCCAAACTATTATTATAAAAATCAAGTGGGCTAAAACTAAATAGAATGCAATGTTACTTTCTATATGATTCCTATAGGCTGAATCAAAATTTATTATTAATTTATAACTTGAATTCTTTAATGATATGTAATAAAGATGTACATAGACACTACAAACATAATAAACTATTTATGAAAGATAATGAGCACATCAACACAAAATATTAAATAAATCTGTTACAACATAAATTTCAACACATCAGAAAAATATCTTTACACTTAACAAGTATTCCTCACTTTTTCTGCCTACTAGATGGTTGTATACCCATCTCATTTTACAGAACCATCTATTTGCCCATTAGGAAAGTATACATATTAGAGCTGTCATTAATAGAAACAATATCAATGTATCATATTATTATATTTCTGTGCATTAATAATTGATACATATTTGAAAAAAAAAATCATCAATAATTTTGACACATTAATAAAATGTCTAGGAATTATGACAATTTCAAAGCAGTGATTTAAAAAAATAAAGGCCAGGAAAAAAAACCAGCATGCTGTGGGTATTTACAAACAATGCACATCATAATTTTAAAGCAAAGAACATGTATTTTACTGAAATCATAAAAACAGGTATGAAAGCTGAAAACAGATACCTAATACTCGGTATATCGATGTATCGTCGGTATTTGTAGTCTGATATTGATATAATATGTAAACATGCTATGGACTGAATTAATGACAGCTCTAATACCAATCCAACCTACAGAACAATCTAGTTACAAGATGAGTATATCCATCTTTGACCCATTGATTAAGAAAAAGATTATAAACACTGAATATTAGACAATATCTCAATAATTGCCTCTACTTTTTCCTTTTAACATACTATTTTGAAATAGAAAATTAATAATTTAACCTTAAATGATTTCAATAAAGTAAAAGTACAAGAACTATTGTTTTCTATACAAAAAGTTCATGGCAAATCTTCTAATAATATGAAAAAAATATACAAAAGAACAAGAACAAGAGGGCCATGATGGCCCTGAGGTCGCTCACCTGTATATAGGCCCCCCAACCCCCCCCCAACGTTGCAGAGCCAATTTAACCCAAGGGCTTTTATTTGCACAAACTTGGTAGACACCCATAAGAAGATGTTTCATGCTAAACATTTAAGCTCTAGCTCATTGGGCTTTTTAAAAGAAGATTTTTTTAAAGTTTTTACTATACACATATAGTTAAAAACAATGACACCCCTGGGGCCGGGCAAGTTTTGACCCCAGGGCTTTTATTTTATTTCAACTCTAGCTCTTTGGGTTTTTTCAAAGAAGATTTAAAGTTTTTGCTAAACACATATAAAGAAAATCAATGACCCCGGGGCGGGGCCAATTTTGACCCCTGGGCTTGTATTTGAACAAACTTGGTAGACACCTATTAGAACATGTTTGATGCTCAATATCTTGGCCATAGCTCTTTGAGTTTTTTAAAAAGAAGATTTTTTAAGTTTTTACTATATGCATATAGGGAAAATCAATGACCCCCCGGGGCGGGGCCAATTTTCACCCCAGGGCTTTTATTTGAACAAACTTGGTAGACACCCATTAGAACATGTTTCATGCTAAATATCTTAGCTCTAGCTCTTTGGGTTCTTTAAAAGAAGATTTTTTAAGTTTTTACTATATGCATATAGGGAAAATCAATGACCCCCAGGGGCGGGGCCAATTTTGACCCCAGGGCTTTTATTTGAACAAACTTGGTAGACACACACTAGAAGATGTTTCATGCCAAATATCTAAGCTCTAGCTCTTTGAGTTCTTTAAAAGAAGATTTTTAAGTTTTTACTATATGCATATAGGGAAAATCAATGACCCCCGGGGCGGGGCCAATTTTCACCCTAGGGCTTTTATTTGAACAAACTTGGTAGACACCCATTAGAACATGTTTCATGCTAAATATCTTAGCTCTAGCTCTTTGGGTTCTTTAAAAGAAGATTTTTTTAAGTTTTTTACTATATGCATATAGGGAAAATCAATGACCCCCCGGGGCGGGGCCAATTTTGACCCCAGGGCTTTTATTTGAACAAACTTGGTAGACACTTATTAGAACATGTTTCATGCTAAATATCTTAGCTCTAACTCTTTGAGTTCTTTAAAAGAAGATTTTTTAAGTTTTTACTATATGCATATAGGGAAAATCAATGACCCCCGGGGCGGGGCCAATTTTCACCCCAGGGCTTTTATTTGAACAAACTTGGTAGACACCCATTAGAACATGTTTCATGCTAAATATCTTAGCTCTAGCTCTTTGGGTTCTTTAAAATAAGATTTTTTAAGTTTTTACTATATGCATATAGGGAAAATCAATGACCCCCTGGGGCGGGGCCAATTTTGACCCCAGGGCTTTTATTTGAACAAACTTGGTAGACACTCACTAGAAGATGTTTCATGCCAAATATCTAAGCTCTAGCTCTTATGGTTTTTTAAAAGAAGATATTTAAAGTTTTTTCTTTCGGTTGCCATGGCAACCAGAGTTTTGCATGGAATTAAATTCTTTGAACAATTTTTAAAGGTGACCACCAAAGGAACATTCCTGTGAAGTTTGGATGAAATTGGCTCAGTGGTTTATGAGGAGATGTCATTTAAAGTAAAAGTTTACGGACGGACGGACGACGGACGGACGACGGACGGACGCCGGACGAAAAGCGATCACAAAAGCTCACCCTGTCACTTTGTGACAGGTGAGCTAAAAAAACAATATGTTAATAAAAATAAAGTAATAATCACAAGCGAGGAACATTGTTCCAATTGTTAACATGAAATTCAAACTAAGCAAATGATTAGAACTGTGAATAAACAAAAAATTGTTAAATAAAAATAGAGCAAAACTTGTTATCAAAAAAAAAAGGGAATAAGGATGTGACATTTTGATTTATTTTATGGGTATTACAACTTGAATATATGTAAGTCAGAATATAGTCATATAATTTACTCTTACAAATTACTTATTCAAAATAAACGAAAATGTTATAATATTTGGATGCAACAATTCTGAACATATGCGAGTCAGAACGGATTGATATTACTTAATTATCATACAAATTACTTATTCACAAAAACACGAAATGTAATACAATTTTGGTGCAATAATCCTGTTTAATATAATATTTGCAAGTATCTGCAAGCATTTTTATTACCCAAGTTTCAGTACATAATTTATAATAACTGAAATGTACTTTATTTGATAAACTACTAATTTGAAATAAAAGGGTTAATAACTTAATATCAAAGGTAATTTCATTGTACACAGTAAATGGAATGGTTTTCCTAATAATTATCTCACATAAGACATAGATACAACATTTTAGAAATCACAAACAAAATTCACATTTAATTAGTTAGGTACAACAATATATAACATAAATTCTTATCAAGTTTTTTCAGATCTCAATGTGACAGTTTTAGATTATAATTTTTTTTCATGAAATTTTGAAAATTATGAGACTTGTTTTATACACTATAGGTATTAAGCTTTCCATATATACATATAATGTAAGGATAAAATATATCAAGGTTATTTAACATGTGCACAAAAAAAGAAATTCAGTAAAATCTATCATTCTACCATTTGCTAATGCATAAAAAAACTAAACAACCCAAAACTGCTTCAAAAACACAATGGTTAACCAAGAAACAGCATAAAAAGGATCATAGAATGACATACAAATTAGAAAAGCTTTTTCAAAGGGTGTCCTCTATACAGTTTAAAGCCAACTATTTATGGAAAATGGTTAAAAATTATGCAAATAGCATTATTATTTATGACTTTCACTAAATGCATAGAGAATATTTAGAAAATGTAAATGTAACAACAAGACATCTCATTGGTGAGCTGCATTACTCTCTTGAATGTGATTGGTTGCTTGACTTTGGTTCTGACCATTCTGATTGGCTAAATATGACTCTGACTCGTTTTGATTGGCTACCTCTGTATAGGGTGGTGGCTGAGGCATTTGATTGGTTGGTCCGGTACTGTGATGAATGTTACCTATATTTGTTTGATCACCTGAAATTTTATGCGTTTCTGGTAGTTAAATATCAATAAACATCACATAGTCATTTTGTTACATTTGGATTTATATTTTATAATAACTAAAATCTGATGTATACTGGTCGGGGACCATCAACCGGACACTTTTTGAACATTTTTACGTACAGATTTCAAAATTTTTAATCTAGAGACCTAAAAATTGGACACAGTTCAGTTACGTTCTTCCTCTAACTAACAAACTAGTTTGTTTAATCTGATCGTATTGACACTTACATCTGAGGCTCGACAAGGAGGGTATCAAAATTACCTAAATTGTCTACGTTACAGTACCATGTGTCCGGACAGATATGTACATGACATGATTTAATTCAGATAAAAGCTTGGGTGTTTTGATTTTTGATCTCTAACATGATAAACAATATTTCAGCAACAAATGCTGAAGTTTTGGATATTCTATTGTTTACTCTGCAAATGACTATAGCTGATATATGAGGTCAGGCATTGCTTTCTTGACCCCCAAATTTCAACGTCAACATTTTTGAAATAGAAATTAAAATATTACCATTTAAGGAGGTTGAAATAAAATTATTTACTTAATTTTAGAAGAAACATGCATTTATTGTTGATAAAAAAGTGACCGACAACAAATGAACAAAGAAAATACTATATTGAGCATTTTCGGGGCCGTCCGGGTTTGGTGGTTGTCCGGTTTTGGTGGTCCCCAACCAGTAAATATTTCTAAGACCCATGAAAATAAAACAAGAATTGTTAATTATGAAAATGAAAAACTATTGTTAAATTGCATACTAATAATTTGATTAAATGGACACATAGTCTATGAATGTCCATATACAAAGACATTAGGGTGATTACAGAGGTACTGCTGCCTTGCAATGTCAAGGGTTTGTTAGTTTGAACCCCTCAAAATTTCCTTGAAAGGTGAAAAACCAGTTGCTTCCCCTAGACAGAAGTAATTTCTGTATCAACTGTATTACCTACAAGAAACCTTAATTGCTTAAAGTCTTCTGGAGTGTGTTGCTTGTATAGGTTTCCAATGGCAACTATAAGTAATTGTACATCACACAAGAAAAATATGCCTAAATGTAAAATAAAATTCTTTTTTTTAACAAAATTGGTTACCTCCATCTATGGGAACACCTGACTTTGTGTTAGCTGGAAATAAACCTGGGTTATTCATCACCTATAAAAAAGGTATACAAATCAATTAACTGACTCCAGCACAGATAAGAATACATTTGGTCATGTTTTATAAAAAAAATACAAGAATGTCTATATTTTAGAAATGTATGGAAGTAGATTATATACTATTTATAATCTGCAAATTATTAATAATACTGCAAATTTTAATGTCACAAACATGATGTTTATATAATCTATAGATACGACTGCTGTCAATTTATGAAGTAATTTCCATTTTTCATCAAATAAAGTAATTCTGCTTTATAAGTTTATTGTAATGATGTCAGATATTATTTACAGACATGTATAAAAGGCTGTTTGCAATTTAACCCATGGCTTGTGGTTTAGGTTACCTATTCTTACAACCCTACATACTCAGCCATATAACCTGTAAGAACTAATGTTATAAAATGGCACATCTTTGGTTATATATGCAAACAACCGTTAATATAGGGACATATAATCTGTCAGACATCTATTCTTTATAACTGATAACATAATAGGTCTTAAACCTCGGTATATGGTGGAGGGGCCATCGATGCTGCTAGGTTGGGATCCGGACCCCTACTGAATACATATCCACGACCCTCTGGATAGTGTCCATTCTCTACAGTCAATACCCTGCCTGAACCTCCACTGTAAGGCTCTGTCAGGATAGATAAGAAGTTCCTGTGTCCTCTAACAGGTTGTCCTGTAACAAGACGTTGTCTGTGCTTGTAATACCCACATCCCCCAAAACAGGACATCATGAGGAACAAGATGACAAACCTAAAATATAAACAGGATAGCTCTAAAATCCAAACATGATGCTTTAACATTTGTGAAACTTAAAAAGTATGTATCAATAAACAATAGTTATTTGTAAGACATTTACTAATAAGTCGTTAATCTACATGTTACATGACTCATCTAGCAACAGTTGTAAAGTCTGTACTTATATTTCAGTATGAAAAAATTGTAAAAGGACTAATAAAAGAGGTCAACATTTCATTCACATTTGTCAAGATTTGATTTTGTTTTACTTGTTCATTTTATCTGCATCATTTTTTAACTAAAGTGTTCATAAACCAGCTGTTGTTACTTTCACATGATATTATTCATAATGAACATACCAGAAATACCACATATTCCAGATTGACAAACGATAGCCGTAAGTGTATCTCCTGTCATCATTATCATCATCGTCACCATAGCAACAACCTATACTGCAGCAGTGTTTTCCTCCGCTACATCTAAAATATAAAAATTGTAAAGATAGCCACCCATATTTTTGTTTTCATTTCATTCAAGCACATAATGGTTGCTCTATGAATATTACATTCATAAAAAGTTTAAAAGGATGTGCAAAGTTAATGTGATACAAAAACAAATAAAAAAAAACCCACCTGAATTATTATAAAAAAATTAAAAAAGTATTGTTCTCTATCAAAATTAGTCTATCTCCAGTATACTGCGCTCAATCATGCTCTTTTCTCACACAATTAAATTTTAAGGTTATGTGAAACCATATTAAATAAAACAGGACTGCATTTTATTTATATAATTTTTTCTTTTTTTTTTGGAAACATTATTGTTTTTAAAAATAACCATTAGGAATATATTGAAAAGTCTAAAGGAAATTTCTGTTAAAAACTACAGATCTATGTGTTCAAAGATGCCGCCACATTCCATGTGCAGACAGTACAACAGTAGGTCTGGACTGCATGATTGTGGCAGACAGACAACAAAGACAAATCTATATCCCCTTTCCCCCAAAAAACCTTGCAACTCACCTTGTGCCATCATCACAGATTTCTGCTAATGCCTAAAATGAAAAAAAAGGTAATTGGATTAGTATTTGTCATAACTTAACAGAGTTTTCTTCTAAAGATACCACTATCCATGTAAGGGGCTCTTTCCTTAAATTTAGGGAAAATTAATATATTTTTGCAAAATAAAACAGAGAAAAACACTAAGAAGGAAAGATTTCCTCCTATATGAAGCCTTATGATGCCAAAGCATAAATCTAAGACCTCTATCACTGATGAATAATTCATTACTTCATGCCAATACATATCTTTTACCCTGCCTACTATCTTAATTAAATGGTCTAGTCTATCTTTCAATCCAGACATTTCTATAGAAAATTGCAAACAAGACCCAACGAAGGGCGGGGCAACGCTTGATTTTTTTACTTTTTCTAAAAGCAAACAAATAATGCTTTAAACAAATCTTTAAAAAGAAAATGCTGTGTCCAAAAGGTTGTTTTGTTCAAGTATGAAAATAATCCATTGATTTATTGACAAGTTACCACTAATTACAGTGATAATCAGTGGAAATTAAATAATTTGACCTTCAAGGCCAGGGACGTGTAGACTATAGCCGGGCAAGCCAAAGCCTTCACAGACACAGGCTTTGACTCCCCCTTATTAAATCGTAAGAGCATTTTGCAACATAGGTAGCACCTAATTCTTCCTTCTCATGTAAATCAAACAAAACGTATCTAAGGGGATATTGTAAATCAAACAAGACATTATCACATATAGGCCGAAAACATCAAGTTTGCTATTACACTCCATTAGGTGAATTCCCCAGAGCTATGTACAGAAAGTACCGCAAAACGGCATTTAGCTAGGTTTTCGAATTCGTGAATTTTCGGTTGACAGTGTCATGATTGAAATGGTGTCTGCTGTTTGATTTTTTTACCAAATAATTCCATTTGTATTCAATTTATTAAGAGAGAAATCATTTAAATTTTGAGAAACTTACTCGACCTATCAGGGGAGTTTGATAAATTCTTAATTTCTTTACTCGCCCAACACGAACTTTTACTCGCTAATGCGAGTGGATATGTCAAGGCCTGCTTTATAAATATATATCTTTAAGATACATGTAAATCTTTTTCCCCAGCTTCTATACCTGGACTCCTGTTTAAAACCAAATTAAATTAATTATCCAGTTAAATCATAATTTTTGAATGGAACATATTCTTCTTCATTTCTGTTATGTTATGTAAATTAAATTTCTGTGTAGACGTTCAAAGTTCCATGGTCACGACAAATACTTACATCTGCAATGAAACATATCATAAAAACTGCCAAACAGACAAGCTGTTGGTACGAGTTCGGCATTTCAAAATTGTGTTTATCAGCTGTCAAAAATTATCCTTTTTTCATAAACACAGGAAGTTACGTCAATTTGCACTTGTTTTTTTTAAATAAGAATTAAAATTTAATCGAACGCAGTGAGAGGTGTGGCTATACAAAGCACGAAAAGTTGCTGTTGGTTTATTTAAAAACAAAAACAAGCATAGGCATTAGAGTAAGTAACAGTATCAATCAACCGGACACTTTTTGAACATTTTTCCATACATATTTCATATGGCACTTATATCTAAGGCACGTCAAGGAGGGTATCAAAATTACCTAAATTGTTCACATTAGAGTACCATGTGTCCGGACAGATATGCACATGACATCAATTTAATGCAGTTAAAAGCTCGGTTGTTTTATTTTTTTATTTCTTATATGATAAACAATATTTCAGCAGCAAATGCTGAAGTTTTGAATATTCTATTGTTTACTCTCCAAATGATTATAACTAGTATTAGAGGTTAGGTTTTCCACTCTTGATATCCAGTATAATATAAGTATTATCATCTGCATAATTATATTGTAAATGGTGCACTTATCTATAAAGTAAAAACAATATCATTAATAAATTTAGAATGTTTAAAATCAAAAGTCTCAGAATAGAGCCTTTATAGGAACAGCCTAATAAGTTAATAAGCCAAGTGCTTTATATATGATATTCTCCCATTTTAGACTTTTGTTTTCTGTTAGATAGATAATTTCAAACTAGAGAACATGCAATTATCTAATCAGCCATATGCCCCTAGCCATATGCCCCTAGCTTTTGGACTGTGAGATCATGCAGTAGACTGTCAAAAGTCTTGTACATGTCCATTAATATTGCTACCAAATGCTTGTTTCTGTCCAGCATCATCTTCCATTATTCAACCAGATGAATAAAGGGCATCTGTAGTCCGGTCTGAAAGCGGCTAGAAAATTATGAAATATATATTTTCTATTATTTATTTTTTTGATGCAGATTTTTTCGACGGAAACAGTTTCCATTGACGTAGTTTCAGTAGCCTCGATTTTTGAGTGACGTTTTGTGTGAAGGCAGTGGTTACTGGCATAACCATAACCGGCGCGTGGTGTTTGCTCTGTCAAACGTGGTCTCAGAAAATCCCTCAAAAATGTGAACTTGCGTGATAATAAATCCTTGACACAAATTTGAAGTGTATGTCGTTATAGCTTCCTGTCCTTTTAAATATAGCTATGTGGCATAATTTAGTCATATTTTTTAGTTGACCTATAAATTGATCGAGCTGATTGAATATAAAATTTATTCAAATTAAATTCGCAATTATCTTGTTTAAACACATATTTCTTTTTTTTTAATTTAAAGATACTATAGCCGCAGCGGCCTATACTAGTTGTAGAGGTAACTCCGACACTTAATCATGTATTTTTTGTAATATCTTAATTATCTTCCTGTATATTCTAAATATTGAACCAGCTAAACAAAGTTCAGTTCAAAGACTTAAAAAAATCCATTACACTACAAAAATCACGTATGAAAATGGAAACTGGTACTTCTTAAAGCAAAAATGATGAAAACCCTTGGAATTACCCAAAACCGATTTTTTCCATGTTAACACGGGGTGAGAGTGGTTTTGTCGAACTACCGGTTCGGCAAACTAATCTTATATTATAAAACAGGTAGTGGTTTCGGCGAGCTTAATGTATACAGTGCAAAAAATATCTAGTGTATAATTGGGCACGTCAATTTACTGGGTCTTAAAGGGACTCCACTGAGGTTTTTTGACACGATGGGATTGAAAATATTTTTTCAAGATAAATGTACCATTTGTTGTAGACTTAGACCTAATCTTTGTGCAAAATTCCAGATCATTTGCCTACTTTGTTTTTCCAGGATAATTATTCAAATTGTAAAAAATGTCCCTAAATGAAAATTGTTTAAACGCTTTTCACTCAAAACGGGCGAAGAAATGCATAAAAATACCATTTTCAATTTATCTCAAAGTATATTTCTTTAATATCTTTGCATATATTCCTGTTTAAAGTGCTCCAGCTCATTTATGTAAGAGATTCAAATGTTATTTTTTTGACTTTTAAACCTCAGTAGAATCCCTTTAATGTGTGGTTTATAACACATTTGCATGCAATTAAAGACAAGATATTGAAAATTTAAACCTATTATTTTCTTTAGTATAATAGTAATTTTTACATATAAACATTAACATGTGGTCTTTCTCATAATTTTGGGGGGAAAATGGCTGTTTTGTGGTTGTCTTATTTCTTATTTAATCTTTTATTGCATGAGCATATTGTGAAAAAGGGCTGTTTTCATTGAAAAACACACTGTTACAAGTTCAAACTGCTATGAAACTTTACAAAATGCTTCACTACTGATCAAACTTGGCACAAATGTTGACTGGACCATAGCCTTTGTAAAAAAATATCAAATTTTAAAAAAATTATCACATAGATGTCCTGCTCCTATACTACTATGTGGTCATGTTGTTGAAAAACAAAGTTATAACAATTATATTTATCAATTGCCGGGGTTATCTATCTCTTCGACCATTATAAGTAACATGTTATGCAGTTATATTGTATATAAAGTTTAACATATTTACGCGAAAAAGTACTTTTCTATTTTCAGTAATACTGATTTAATGTAGAATATAGTTCTCTTTTACACACTTTTTAATCAAGCAAAGGCGGAAACCCAGTTTTGGACGTAACATACTGTTGCGGAATAGAATTCTATAAATTTCGCTTGTAATCATCTCATTGACAGGTAAAATGTTGATAAATGTTTAATGCATAAACATTTGTACAATATTCTTTTATCAAAATATTGGTAAATTATCAATGATATTTGATATTATTCAGCTTTATCCAGCAGGTATTCTGGGGTATAGGGCCTTAGTACTCTTAGTCATATTTATTATAATTTGGAATTCTTTTTTAGCTCACCTGAGGACAATGTCCTCAAGGTGAGCTTTTGTAATGGCCCATTGTCCGTCGTCCAGCGTCCGTGCGTGCGTCCGTACGTGCGTCAACAATTTCTTGAAACAACTCTCCTAAACCAATTGGCCAATTTTTTTTAAACTTTGCAGGGATGTTACTTGCATGAAGCTGTACCAAAGTTGTTCAAAGAATTAAAGTACATAATGAACTCTAGATGCCATGGCAACCAAAAGATTTTTTTACAAGAAATCTTAAAAGATCTTCGTGTAAAAAACCGGAAAAGCTAGACTAGAGCTTATAGAAATTTGGCATGAAACCTAGTTCTAGTGTATATCTACATGTTTGTTGAAATAAAACCCCTAGGGTCAAAATTGGCCCCGCCCCACGGGTCATTGATTTTTCTTAAATGTACTGTAAATCCAGTGTTTTTTCAAGATGTTTTAATTTTCGCTATTTCTTCTGGGGTGAAATGGGGCTCCACTTTGACCTATTTCTCAGGTGAGCGATCCAGGGCCCACTAATATTATTATTTTTTACTTCTGGGCAAAGCAAAGTATTATCGAAATCATTTAAAAACATCGGCCTAAAACATTTTGCTAAAATATTCAGCACAAATTTTCAGCAGTACTCTTTCATGACTGACCTGAGCCTATAATTATATGACAATGCTTTGACTGGGCAAAGCAATGTCATATCGAAATTGCTCAAAAACTCACAAAATTTTCGCAAGAAAATCTTGCGAAACAAAAAAACAAGACAGCGTAAATTAACATTAATTTTGACCTATTTATGAAAAAAAGTAAAAAATAGATCTACACTTTTAACAAAATAATAAAACCATCATATCAGATTCAGAAAAGTCATGATTAAATCCTCTTATTTAATCAAATTACTTATATAGCTGATAAACAAATGGCAGTTACACAGTGTGAGAAATCTGATTGGCTAATTCAAATGCAAGCGTTGAAATGAGTCAAAAGTCTCAAACGAAATATTTTTGAACGAAATATTTGCCCATGCAACGCCAGTGAGAATGAATATATTTTTCCGTTCAAAATTTGAAACCAATTGATCTTTAAAACGCTTTTCTTAACCAGTATGGCTGATAGGCAAAAATAGATTGATGTTTATGTTTCATTTTTGATTGATAACAACATTATTTGAGAGTTTTTGTTAATGATTGGAGAGAGTTCTTTGAAAAGAGTGTTGAGAATTATTGGTTTTATTTTATCAGGACCAAAGGCCTTATGAGGGTTTAGGTTATTGAGAAGTTTCTCGATTCCTTTTGCTCCTATTTGGATATTTGGCAAAGAAGGAATGGATTGATCATGTTAAGGTTTATTTTACACAAGGATGCAAGGGTTAGGGGAGATTTGGGGCTGAAAACTGACTGGTATTGCTTATTTAAGGCTGTAGCCTTTGAGACATCATCATGGTGAAATTTTTCTTGCATGTCAGACAGAATTATCTACCATTTACACCGGTGCTGGAAAACCCTGTCTTACACCCCCGTGTAAGACAAGTTGCGTGCATTAAATGATGTAATTGCAGCGCGCCTTTTATGAATGAATTGCATTCTTAGGATGATGTTATTTAACGGTTATGAATAAAGTTGTAAGTTCATACGCTACTATAAGAGACAAGCGCATAATGAGAATATCAGTTTTCGTAATTTCTGTTCTGAAAATTAATGATATGTAATATGCAAGAGAAAGAATCAAACACCGGCAGTTGGCACATACGGGAATATCTAGCTCTCGGGTAACTGTTTAGTGGAAACTTGGCAGAGCCTCAGTACTGCCGTAAACAGTTACCCATGAGCTAGATATTCCGGTCTGTACTGACAGCCAGTGTAAGATTCTTATAATTTTCATATTTTAATGGGGGTACAGCAGATGTTTCTTGTTTTGAATGTTAAATTAAGGAGTACACCATTTTAGTGTTGGGTTTGTGACCATTTTGGACATCAGTGTTACTTAAATTTAAGATGTCTTCAAGATACAGTACAGATATCGAGGAATATGCAAATTTCTGCGAGTATCGAGTAATCTCAAAAAGCGTGACTCCGAGTGGATTATAAATTTCTCGGGTGAAAAAGAGTGACTCCGAGACAAAAACGAGTGACAATTTTGTCCGCGGGACTCCGTGAATCTCCGAGTCAAAAAGAGTGACTCCGAGAAAATAAGACTGATTTGGTACACGTATGCTTTATTTATTTATTAATTAATATAATGCTCTACCTCTAAAATAAAATCCTTCAACGCATGTATTATTCATTCAAAATAACAATGTTGTCGAAAATTCTTCGTTGATGTAAAGTATCACAAGTGAAAACGAAAGTAGACACACTTGATTCATTAATTAATTAAAGGAAAGAATAACCGATGATTTCCCGCAATTCCCGTAACGCTCAGTGTCAAAAACCTATTTAATTTAGTATTCTAAAATAAGAAAATATAGATGAGCTTCTTTTTTGCATTGTTTATACAAATTTATAATTATTATGTAAGCAAAAAAAAGAAGAAGAAAAAAAAGGAAATATATGGCAAAACAACCACGTGCTTAGGTCGATTCATTCCATTGACATACTATCGTAAGGGTAATTATACTTTGTACCTGAACTGAATAAAAAAACAACATTTTCTTTAAGACAGTTTACAAAGTATTCTTCAGTGAAATGCATCTGCCTTGGAAAGTAATTTTATACTTTTAAGTCAGGCTTTTAGATAAATTTGTACCAGTTACATAAATGATACCAAACTGATTTCCATGTGAAGTACATGTACGTCTCCTTTTAATTGTTGGTTGATAAAAAATCCGTGAAATACGAGATATAATACATCATTCCATACAATGCACTAGCCAAAACAGCGACACCCTATGTCGGCATGTACAGTCCTGCTTTTAACATTAATGTTTAAATTTATTTTACTATTGCTTTCAGAACAATATAGAACAGAGTTAAGAAGTTCGATCTGCTAGGCAATTCTACCGATGTTGGCAGCACAAGAAAGGACAACATTAAGGAATTCATTTATGAAATTCTACCGATGTTTGCAGGGGGAAAACAACAGGCGCTGCGTCGTCTCAAGAATAAAACCATGAATTATAAAACAAGAACATTGAGATTGGCAGTGATTTTTTAAAGGCATGGCGGTCTTTTTCAATCCACATACGTACATGTACAATGCATGCCCGCTTGCTGTGACGATCAAATATGTTCATATGCTATTATAAAAATATTGTTTTATCGTCTATTAACAGTACATGTACGTGAAATCGGAAGTAGTTTAATCTTTGTCAAAACTGTTTTTTTATTTTTATACCCCCGCACAACAAAGTTGTAAGGGGGGTATACTGGAATCAGCTTGTCCGTCCGTCCGTCCGTCCGTCCGGCCGTCCGTCCGTCGGTTTTTTCTTGTCCGCCCAATAACTTAAGATTCCTTTGACCCTTAGTCTTCATATTTGGCATGGAGGTTAGTCATGATTAGTAGATGACCCCTATTGATTTTGAGGTCACCAGGTCAAAGGTCAAGGTCACAGGGGCCTTGACTTCAAAAAGCTTGTCCGCCCAATAACTTAAGATTCCTTTGACCCTTAGTCTTCATATTTGGCATGGAGGTTAGTCATGATTAGTAGATGACCCCTATTGATTTTGAGGTCACCAGGTCAAAGGTCAAGGTCACAGGGGCCTTGACTTCAAAAAGCTTGTCCGCCCAATAACTTAAGATTCCTTTAACCCTTAGTCTATATATTTGGCATGGAGGTTAGTCATGATTAGTAGATGACCCCTATTGATTTTGAGGTCACTAGGTCAAAGGTCAAGGTCACAGGGGCCTTGACTTCAAAAAGCTTGTCCGCCCAATTACTTAAGATTCCTTTGACCCTTAGTCTTCATATTTGGCATGGAGGTTAGTCATGATTAGTAGATGACCCCTATTGATTTTGAGGTCACCAGGTCAAAGGTCAAGGTCACAGGGTCTTGACTTCAAAAAGCTTGTCCGCCCAATAACTTAAGATTCCTTTGACCCTTAGTCTTCATATTTGGCATGGAGGTTAGTCATGATAAGTAGATGACCCCTATTGATTTTGAGGTCACCAGGTCAAAGGTCAAGGTCACAGGGGCCTTGACTTCAAAAAGCTTGTCCGCCCAATAACTTAAGATTCCTTTGACCTACAGTCGTCATATTTGGCATGGAGGTTAGTCATGATTAGTAGATGACCCCTTTTGATTTTGAGGTCACTAGGTCAAAGGTCAAGGTCACAGGGGCCTTGACTTCAAAAAGCTTGTCCGCCCAATAACTTAAGATTCCTTTGACCTACAGTCGTCATATTTGGCATGGAGGTTAGTCATGATTAGTAGATGACCCTATTGATTTTGAGGTCACCAGGTCAAAGGTCAAGGTCACAGGGGCATTGACTTCAAAAAGCTTGTCCACCCAATAAGTTAAGATTCCTTTGACCTACAGTCTTCATATTTGGCATGGAGGTTAGTCATGATTAGTGGATGACCCCTATAGATTTTGAGGTCACCAGGTCAAAGGTCAAGGTCACAGGGGCCTTGACTTCAAAAAGCTTGTCCGCCCAATAACTTAAGATTCCTTTGACCTACAGTCGTCATATTTGGCATGGAGGTTAGTCATGATTAGTAGATGACCCCTTTTGATTTTGAGGTCACTGGATCAAAGGTCAAGGTCATAGGGACTTTGACTTCAAAAAGTTTGTCCACCCATTAACTTAAGATTCCTTTGACCCACAGTCTTCATATTTGGTATGGATGTTGATCATGACTATAAGGTGACCCCTATTGATTTTGAGGTCACTGGGTCAAAGGTCAAGGTCACAGGGACCTTGACAAAAAGAAAAGCTTTTCTTCTCAATTGCTAAAGAATGTCCTTTCCGCAATGTATTGATTTTGACATATTCACATTTGAAGCATGTAGAATACATAACTTAGCAATGCACTGGCTTAGTAACCTCAGATTTGGCAGGGAGGTTGTCCTTGAGCTCTAAATGGCCACTGTTGATTCTGACAAAGTGGTATGCGGGGGTATTCACGCCATGATAGTGGCAGTTCTAGTTATAAAATGACATGATATAGATGATGTACAAACCATAAACAAATAAAACAAAAAGACAAATAAAATGATCATTTTATTCTTTGCTGTTTTTATTTTTTGTCAATCTATGTAATGCTGATTACAGGTGAATGAATTACGGGAGCAGTGCGCTAGGTAAGTTGAACGGCCTCTGTCAACTTGTTAACACCTCCATAACTCTTGAATTCCTCCATAATGCCTGAAATAAAAAACAAAAATCTTAATTTATTAATGATCATCACAAGACAACTGACTTTTGATATCAATATCGACATACGTCTACATATGACTTTGATAACAGAATGAGACCGACAGATTTTCGGAGATACTCTTGGAATAAAATTACAACAATATATTACTAATTTTTATGCAGCTTTATTTAGAAACGATTAAGTTAATGTTAATTCTCAAGAATTATATATAAATCAAGTGTCTTCTAATTAAAACGGCGGATGTGACAGGTTGACACGTAACTAAAATACATGTAAACAATGGATTATGAAGAAACGTACATGCACATTATGACAATTTTTAAAACTATACAAACCAATATAAAAGTTGGGAAAGTCATTTTTTTTTATGTGCACATGTTATCAATGATTAAAATATTATGAAGATCGAAACTCATTTTCCACATTGAAAAAAAATAAACACAACACAATATTTGGCACCTGAAATAAATTAGAACGGCACGTTATCGGTATTTGATGCATATAGAAACATTTAAGATTAAGAAGTTTATATAATTAATTCATTTCTTAAAGAAGTATAAAAACATGTTGGGCCGTTATTATATGGATTTTTTAAATCGCTTTTTGTTTTTGATAGAATTTCGGGTTCCTGTGGTTATTGCTACTGACCTAATTAATCGGGATAAAAATAAACTTGAGAACTGATGACGCTTACGGTAGTGATTTTTCTAATCAAATGTACCTTTCAACTGATTCAGGGTAAATTGAAAACAACAACCGTAAAAATCATCTTTATTTTCGAATGGTAATCTAAAGAATTAAATTAAATATAAAATGAGATTGCACTTGCATTTATTTACACCAGCTAGACACCGACACGGAGTTACGCGGTAATTCTCTCTCGGAGTCACGCGCTTTTATTTTCGTCTCAGAGTCACTCTCATCACACGTTTCTCACGCGGAGTCACTCGTTTTTATGGACAAATACTCTCGCGGAGTTGCGAGTACTTTCCTCGATCTTGGAGGATTTTGCATATTCCTCGATATCTGTACTGTATTGGTTATAAGCCTCTTTAACCTTTTTCCGCTCTGGATGTTTCATGTCAAGGAACTAGGAATAGACCCTAGGATCTAAACCAGGAGGCTGGAAAGATTCACTTAATGTTTGATTCAATTTCAATTTCTGGATACACCGTGGCCGATTCCATTATTTTCGATTTGATGCATATCTGATTACTATTTTATCATAATAAGGTCCCATTCACAAAGACAAAAAGTATGTTTCTTTTTTTACAATTGTCTAATAATGAATTGTCAATACTAAGTCATTGAAAAAAATTGTCAATGGCTTCAAAATTTGAGAAACAGGAACTCAATCAATGAGACTTTGTTTCATGAAGCAAAAAAAAAAAAAAGAAAGAAAAGAAAGAAAATATAATAACAAGTCTCTAAGTTTAATATTATGAACATGCTCAGGTCTGTTCACATTAGCATGTATAGTGGACTTTGACTGAAGGAGCAATTTGAGAAAAATAATTCGAACAAAAAAAACAAAACAAAAAACTATTGAGACAACTAAAGGATCTTACTCAAATAGGGATGTATATAAAATTCAGACCCCCTCTGTAAGTGACCCCCTCACCCAACCTCACATGTTGCTGTTGTCCTACTTTCACTTTCACATTTAACTATTGGTACACTGTTTTCTTTTATTTTTGGTTCTATTTTATCAACTTAGTCCTATTTCTTTCTTTTTTATGAGTTACGGTAAGTACTATATCTATACAGAATATAGTGTATATAATAGTTATGTGTTATTTCTTAGCTAAATTTAACATTGGAGTCATTTTATTGCAAGGTAGGTCATTAATTTTGACTGTGTCTGTAAATGTAAAGTGCTAGTATACAACACAGGTTGGAATTTTCTGTCAAGTCCTTCATGTGTTTGGATTATTTCTTTTCATGGTAATTGTACATGTTCCCAATTATTTTCTTGAAACATTCATTCTTTCTCATTTATCAGTAATTGGAAAGTTTTTGCTGTAATATAATACACAAGTTGTGACTTTTTCTTTTACTTTAGAGTTTACAGTGTTTCATCTTCATATTAAGACAGACATGTAAACAAATCCATTCCACTGTGGCAAAAATGCCTACAATTTTTTAAGATCATTAATTTTGTCCCTGCCATCATTCTTCAAAAGTGAAAAAACAAACAAACCAAAAAATCACTGCGATGTAAAGCTTTACATGATTTCATGTTATATACAATGATATTTAACTTACTTACTGTTTTGACCTTGTAACTACTAACACAAGTAAGGGTTTCTTGGCAAAGATTTAGGTCATATTATCATCATATTGATTGTTAGTGAATTTTGCTGGCTTATTTTTATTTACTTCCTCATTTAACAATATTGTTTTACTGTTTATTAAACTTTTATGCTTCTTACTGGTGTGTGTTGGAATTAAGGATTCATTTGAGATAGTGTAATTCAGTTAGCCTATCTAAGGTTGGTGGTTCTACATGGTGCCCGTTTGTCCCTGAAATAATGCACAAAGCGGACACCTGAAGTCCGGCTGTCCTAATTTTTAATGACCTTTGATTTCAAACCAAAACAGAAATAAAACAAGTAAAAAAATATATATATTTATAAAATTATTTAAATATTTTTTGCTATGTATCCGAGAGAAAATGGGGAAAAACCATGATTAAACAGACCATTGAGTATGTGTCATAATAAAACAGTGATGTGATAATTGAATATTATATCTTATGTTATTTCATATTGTCATGAACTGAACCCACATCCTTTTAAGCTGCAGATTTATCATATCTAAATTTATGGTCATAAAACAGGCTTATCAGCTTCATTCAGTGCAGACAGTATCCGAAAATCCATTAAAATGAACTTTGCATGGTGGACACTTCATTTGCTGAATTTAAAATATTTAAAATGAAATAAATGAAACAGGAGGAGATCGATGTTGTTATTCAATTGTATGATTTCTTTGAAATTTTATTCTAAGGCTATTTTAATGAAAGTACTGAATATATGTCAGTGATTTCTCAACTTATATAACAGGGGCCTTTCCCAATTGAAATTTTCTTTAAAATCATGCAGTGTTTCCAAAAATCTAAACTTGCACCAAAACATTTACTTCCCGAATAAGCAGTTTTAGAAATAATTCTCCTCAAATTTTAAGAGGCAAACTGGCTTTGTACAAATGATGTGAGAAAGATTACTGTATGTATCTAGGTACGTTTAAGCTCGACTCTTTGAAGAAAATTGTTGGGCTAGCCACAACTCAGCAGTGCATGGGCATCAGCCATTCCCACTAATTGAACTGCACAACAAGATATTGTGCTATCTTGTGTCTGGGCAATATCTCGCCTCTACTTCTGACCTAGAATGAAAATATCTCAGAATCTAGCTTTGGCATGTCAACATATTTTGATTTTATCCAGCTTAGGTCCTTAAGTCTAGCATGGATTTTAACAGAATTTTATCAACCTTCTTGAACTTACCAAACACTAAAAATAGTCAAGCATGCTGTCTAATTGACAGCTCTTGTTGCATAGTTATGCTCCTTTTTCTACTGGATTTAGTCTAGCAAAGTGTTGTTCTGATCAGTAATTTCTTTACAAGTAGGGTTTATGCATGTATAATGCTTGTTGCACTAGTATTCCATTAATAATCAAGGGCAGATAACTGTCAAGTTTGCATAGTTATCTCCCTTCTTTGACAATACAATTATAGCATTGATTAAAGTGGAACATGCAGGGCTATAGACACCTTGTTTTAAATGTAAAGATAAACAAAGAAATGCATGTATATAATTATTTTCTTTGAGTGCTGTCAGACTTCCCGAAAGTTGAAAAAAACTGTCAGACATTCGGTCTGACAAACCATGAAAATCTGTCAGACCGAAACGAAATCTGTCGGACCAAATAAAATTGATCAAAATCAAAAAATAACGTGTGTTTGTATTTCTAGAGACTTTTTGTTTTTAATTATTTCGCCGTAAAAATCTGCACATTCCTTACAGCGCATTTTCATCTCCTCCCTATCATACACCAACGATTCACTGTCTTGCTTCTAATTTTCATTAAATTTTGTCTCAGGTCTACTTTTATTATCCTTTTACTGCTGTTCTGCGCGTTCCTCTGACGTAGATTTTTTATTTTTCCAAGGTTTGGCACCTTTAGCGACGCCATTTTGTATACATGCGGCTTGGATAAAAGCCGGACAGTCGGACCGATCCGGGATAAAAACTCGTCGGACCTGATCAAAATTTATCGGACATGTCCGTCGGACCGACGTATTTCGGGAAGTCTGGCTGTTTCCACTATTGCATCTAATATACATGTACATTGTTTAATATTTTCAAGATGCATAATAAGTTAACAATAAAAGCATTTGCTAAAAACAGCTGTTTGATTTTTTGTGAACTGAAAAACTGAAAATTGCAAATAAATGTGCTGAGATTATTTGATTTTTTAACAAGTATTTTGCATATTTACATACCTTAGCCAAGCTGGGATTGGGCCAATCAGGGTTTCGTTGAAGTAAAAATTTGATACCTGGAAAATAATATAAAAATGCTTGCCTTTCTAAAGGATTGCTTACCTATTTGCATAGCTATGTTGAATTTCAAATGTTTTTAGTTAAATGACCTTTTATATTATATCAAAATGTATAAAAGGCATAAAGATTTATATTGAATACGTTCAATTTACTTTTCCAAAATCAGTCAGCGTGCTTAACTTTTTCAAAATTTAAGGAGTGACTAATTTAAGGAGGAAGTTAATTTTTGTTGTTGATGGTGCAATAAGTATGTATCTAGGTTATGAGGCTAAGCGGTGAATGTGGCAATTTGCCAAAAGTGTAATCCGAGACAGTCAGACACTGACTGGACATACCAGAAGATAGGGTTCAAAAGGTGTATAAATGTCACCTGCACGCCCGTTTAACTCACAACGAGTGAAAAATGTCCATCGGTTAAAATGTTGTGAGCAACTTCCGTTCCTCGTTGTGAGCACCCATCTTTGACCTGTGACACGATAAACAAGGTGACTTTTTCATAATTTTTGAAGATTACAGACATTAATGTAAAAATATCGGAATGCAGTTAGCTAGCTATGTGTTTTCCGAGTATGCACATGTAAAGATATTGTCTGTTGGTGGACAATTTGATGGAAATACCGTGCGACGCAGTCACTCGGGGTAGGTGGAAAACTGGAGACAACTTCTCTTTGGACCTAATTTAACATTGAAAACGTCGATTCTGGTGACGTTTTGTGCATTCTTACCTAAAACAGATGCCCACAAGTCTTCAGTGTTAATTATTATCTGAAAGTCTTCGTAGAAACGAAGATATACTCTATTTTGCTTTAATCCTCGTTGTGAGCACCATAACCTCGTTGTGAGCAAGACAAGCGCAGTGCTTGTCTGGGTTTAATATGTAATTCAAATGGCAAGAATACAATTTTTAATCTACCAAAAGCAATCAAAACGTTTTTGTACAAAAGTTTTTCTTTGCAATAGTTCTTCTTTTTCTTTTTAAAAGTTTTTTTGAAAATTATTCTTCATATTCACAAGTCATCAGATTAACAGAAGAACTAATCAGTGTAGGTAAATCAGGTATTTTATTTCGTATACTCTGGTTTGGCTCGAGTGAACATCACGGGAGTTTATGAATATTTCAACAATTTCACAGTCTGTGTGATACACACATACATATGTTTATCCTGAGCTGAAGACTGACCAAGTTATGTAAAACAAGAACTATCACGGTAAGTTGACAATGCCCCTGAAGTGGTGCTTTGTCCTTAGATTTATGGACCAGATAGATTATTTGTTTTTGGACAATTAGATCTTCAATGTGAAGGTAATTCAATGTCAAGGTGAAATACATATAGGTCAGTTGGAAGGTCTTGTCCAAAGGGGCATTGTGTCCAAATATGAATTAAATCAACTTACTTATAAAGAAGTGATGACCAATCTTAAAGTTTTTGGATGTTCTAGAAGGTCATTCACGGTACAAGATAAAAAAATACAGATCAGTTTGAAGATCTTGCCTAAAGGGGCGTTGTTTCAAAATATGAGTAGAATCCGTTTACTAATAAGGAAGTTTTGACCAATTTTTAAGAATTTGGACAATTTGACCTTCAAGGTAAAGGTCATTCAGGGGTCAAGTTCAAATAAAATAGGATAGTTGAAAGGCCTTGTCCAAAGATGTGTTGTGCCTAAACATTATGCCAGGACATTATGGCCAATCTTAAATGTTTTTGGACAATTTGACCTTCAAGGTAAAGGCCATTCAGGGGTAAAGGTAAACAAATACAGGTCCGTGGGAAGGTGCTAAGGGATGTTGTGTTCAAATATGAATCAAATCCGTTTTCTAATAAGGAAGTTAAGGCCAATGTAAAATTTTCGGACAGATTGACGGACGTAACATCTTATGATATTTATGAGGCAAATCAGCTCATAAACACCACCTGGACTAACGTCCATTAGCAAAATTAGCTCAAAAAATAGCTCTTAATTTGAATTTTATGAGTTTTTGTTCTTTATTTAACTACGGAATGAAGCTCATAAATATCATATATTTGCTCGGACTGACAGACGAACAGTTCAAAACTAATATGCCTCCCTTTGGGGTATGCACAACGTCAAGTGCAAAGAAATGCTGCTGTGCAAAAACGTTTTAATTGCTGTGGTATATTGAAAATTATATTTTCACCATCTGAATAACATATTTAAACCATACACACACTGCGCTTGTCTTGCTCACAACGAGGTTATGGTGCTCACAACGAGGATTAAAGCAAAAAGGATATATCTTGGTTTCTATAAAGACTTTCAGATAATAATTTACGCTGATGACTTGTGGGCATCTGTTTTAGGTAAGAATGCACAAAACGTCACCAGAATCGACGTTTTCAATGTTGAATTAGGTCCAACGTGAAGTTGTCTCCAGTTTTCCACCTGCCCCGAGTGACTGCGTCGCACGGTATTTCCTTCAAATTGTCCACCAACAGACAATATCTTTACATGTGCATACTCGGAAAACACATAGCTAGCTAACTGCATTCCGATATTTTTACATAAATGTCTGTAATCTTCAAAAATTATGAAAAAGTCACCTTGTTTATCGTGTCACAGGTCAAAGATGGGTGCTCACAACGAGGAACGGAAGTTGCTCACAACATTTTAACCGATGGACATTTTTCACTCGTTGTGAGTTAAACGGGCGTGACCTGTGTCCAACCAGGTATCTGCGAAGATAACCTCTTTTTAGCAGATCAAGGTATTTCAAAATGATTTGTCTGTTTATGTCATTCACCAGTTGTGCTTTGTGAAGCTGTACTACCCTGCCAAATTTGAATATGACTTAAAATTATAAGCCATTTGAATTTGGAACAATTTAGATTAATACAATAATTGTATATAATGTCTTAAAATTAAGTTTAGATATTAGATTATACACAGTGTCAGTTTTGAATGCTTGATTATACGCAAAAATTTGACACAAAGATATTTTTAATTCCTAGAAGTCTGTCTCTCCTGTGTTTATAGGAAACTAAATATTTATCTATTTATAGCAGTCTTTATATATGCGTAGTTAAACAGCTCCCCCTATAGGTAAAGTTTAACTTTACAAGTTGAGTTGTGGTTTAATACAGGATAAGCCATATTTGTTGTGAGTAATATACTGTATGATTATTATTTATTTTAAAAAGAGTTCGTTTATAATGATTAATAAAAGTAAATAAGATTTTAAAAGTTGAAAACTTAAGCTTTTTTCATGCAATAATAGCTAAAATATTGTACATTGACTTGTTTCTAAACTATATGATACATGTAGAGTTAAATTACCGTATGTGCACTCTGTAACGGGACAAGTATTTTTACTGTTCAGTTACTGTCAATGTCAATGAGGTAGCAATTAAAAGCTAATTTTAAATATAAAACAAGTTCTTGCATAAATTTATTAAGTATCATGGGGCGGACGGTATTAAATAAATGTTGGCTGATTTTTATGCCTTTATAAACAAAAACATGTATTTTGTACACTATGCATGCCAAATAACTTTTCAAGTTCACGGTCTAGTGGTGACAGGGTCACTGGCCTTAATTATAAGAGTTGCTGTACGCTGTATATAATTGATGTTCTTTCCTTGTAAAAGAGATGATGGTTACATTATGAAAGTCAAGTAACAAAGCTTACTTACATTGTGAAAGTCAAGTAACAAAGCTTAATTACATTGTGAAAGTCAAGTAACAAAGCTTACTTACATTGTGAAAGTCAAGTAACAAAGCTTACTTACATTGTGAAAGTCAAGTAACAAAGCTTACTTACATTGTGAAAGTCAAGTAACAAAGCTTAATTACATTGTGAAAGTCAAGTAACAAAGCTTAATTTAAATTACATTGTGAAAGTCAAGTAACAAAGCTTAATTTAAATTACATTGTGAAAGTCCAGTAACAAAGCTTAATTACATTGTGAAAGTCAAGTAACAAAGCTTAATTGTATCCAAAGGTATTTTTCTTTTCGTTTAAAAGCATGGAATGGCCTCATATGGATGAAATCCCTTTTCCACATACTTGAAATTTTGTGATATTACGTAAGTCATAGTGACATATTATGCTCCTCATATGATGGTCAGAACAAATTTCCTGCTGCAAAACAAAAATTATAAATGCAATCTTTATCTATATTCACATCAAAAAAAGTTTTCTTGATGGACTAACTTTTATTCTGATGTTTCTGTAGTGTTGTATACGCTGTAAGCTTTATAAATCTTTATTTTGTCTCCAGCCTGTTTACTCATTGACTGATTTAAAACAGGGAAAGTCTAAGGCAATCAGGGATTTTTTGTATAAATTGCCCCATGTCATATTATTGGAGATCAAATCATTATAGTGTAGACCTTGTCAGTGTCTTGTCATATAGCTGTGTACTTTTTTTTCGGACATTATTTCATAAGGTCATAGTACCATGATATATACATGTATATTGAAAATCATGTTGGAATCCCATATAGAGAATCAATGTATAATGTATTGGAAATCATGTCGGAATACCAAGGTTAAAAATGTGAATGTATAATTTATTGATTAGCTGATAACATTTGCAATGTGTCTTGATAGAATCAGTGTGATATTACATTATTTGAACCGAAAATGATTTGCTAGGCCATTTGTTAATATCTCTTCAGAGAGGGTAAAAAAATCCACTTGATAAACAATATCCCTACACAGGCAATAGTGCAAAAAGAACTTTAAAGTAACCGTAATGATAAGCCAGTAATATGATACCACAACCCTGGTGACCCACCCCTGTCAGAAGGGCAGGGCAAATGAGCGGAGTTTTTACCTGCCACCTGTCCTGGCACTATTGGGTCAATACAGTGGTTTTTGTTTTGGTGCTGAAATGGCCAGGAATATGTCCAATTAGCTGGAGCGGACGTTAGTGGGGATTATACCTTCAGACTCTGACTGTCTTATGCAAGGCTGCGGATTTAAAAATCCATCAGTGAAAGTTTCGTCTCTATACCCTGCCGATGGAGGAGCAGTGGTTACAATTAACACGGTGTAATATACAATAGTTATAATGAGATTAGGAAATAAGTGAATGACGTTTGCTTATTGTTAATTGATTTAATAATGTCCTTGTGTGAAGTTGTATCCTGGTGACTTTCGAGGCTGGGCGTTTTAAATATCCCATGATAATGAATTTATTCCTACTAATTAAATATAGCCACAACTGGAAATTTTACATAATATATTGACTTTTCATGCAATTTTCTACCTAACTTAATGCATTTGCCCACAATAGGTCAGGGGACTTAAAATTAAAATATTTACAGATCATGCATGTTTATTATTAAGAAATACTAGGAAATACTAGGAAAGAAATCCAATTTGTATATTTACTTTATGATTTGATTTTTCAAAAAGCATATGAGCATGCATTTGTTGCCTCGTTCTGTACATATTTTATTTGTTTGTTTTTTCACCCTGATATTAACACAAATTAATTGACTTGGCCGTCAATGGTCCTCACCTGAATTTATAGTGTCCAAGTTCAGTTTTCTCCAGCAACCTCTTGAGCTTAGCAAACAGAGATTATGTAACTGTTAATATTGTTGATTTTAAATCTGAGTGCATGGTGCAAGATTTTTAACATGGTTATTCATCATGCTTGAAAAGCTACGATTTATCATGTACATGTATATAGAATATTAGGAAGTTAAATTTTGACATTTTCAATATGTGAAAACATCGACCTCCTGGTGTCTTATTAAACATGATTTATGACTAAAGGTAAATAATGCACTAGCTTTAATGTTTTTAAAATTGTCAAGTCAAATTTTAGATTTTCTTGTTTTTCAATAATGCCTTTTGAAGGCCCCTATGCAGAATATAAAATGATCTGTAATGTTTCAGATGTGTGGGGGATTCTGTATTGAATGCATTGAATTGAATGAAATTGTGTGAAGTGATCCTATACATACAATTATTCAACTCATTCAATAAATTTGATTAGGCATCTGCACTAGGAGTTAATATTCTATTAATTATACGGTATCCAGATATTCTAGGAAAATCAAACATATTTGTTTGACCTTGATTCTAGTAACATATGCAAAAAATGGGGCACTGGTGCATGTTCATGAACAAAATACTAAATGTGGTGTGGTGTGCATAGAGCATTGTATACATTAAGATTGCACATACCAGTAGTGCAGGCGGGCCAGATTTTTTATATTGAATGAAACGGGCAATAACGGGTTCCAAGGTAAGGGCGATATATGGCAGATAAATAAAAACCAGAGGCGGAAACAATTATAAACCCTGTTGCCAGTGCATAATGTTCCCTATTCATTCAAGTCATATTTTAAATTTTCCCTAAAGGTGATTTATAGCATTGTCCATTATATAGTATTGATTCAATGATGGAATAAATCCATTTAAGATACGTAATTATATATATATATATATCGGGTTAAAGTGTAAAGAGGTTTAGTTCTACATGTATGAATAAGTTGTAAAAAATGGTTCTACTATAGTTTTATAATGTTCTTTAAATTTTTCTCTGTATCATTGAGATAGATGTTAAATATATTTTTTTTCACATTATACTGTTGTATGTGGGAGGAGGTCATAAAAACCTCATCCTGTTTAACATCGGAATTGTTTGTGAAATTTTATAAATTAAAATATAATGCCCTCCTCCTACTCACTGTTCTCAGGCTATCATTGTAATGTTTGATAAGAGAATTTGTGTCCTGTTAGATTGTGGGTTAAATAATATACCCTTAATCATTTGTCCTTTGGAAGTTTGAATTCTGTCATGTTCTAGCATATGCAATGTTAGTGATTCTAGTTGGGTACCTACATGCTAATGCCCAGAGGGGCACCAGTAAAGCTGGGCCTCTGCATGTGACAAAACATTAAACCCGGCCTTGGTTTTATAGATATATTTGTAAATATTTGTGATAATATAATGTTTAAGATGACATGTTGCTTAGCTGAGATAACAAATTAGCTGATGCAGATTCCAATTATCAGGTGCACTGCTTTAAAATTAATGCTTATACTTTGTTAGAAAATTTACTGATATAGTAATAGTAACTCTTTCCTCCACATGCTCCATGGAATAAATTGACTATTATCACAATGTCATATAGTGTCACTTTGTTTCCAGTGTTAAAAATTATTCATGACTTGATTATTTAGTATTGTAAAGATGTGGGAGACTTGGTATTTAGTGATGTAAAGATAGACTTGATTAAAAGATAAAGATAACTTGGTATTTAAGTGATGAAAACATTAAAGTGACTTGGTATTGAATGTTGTCAATCGGTAATTTGAGTGATGTAAAGATTAAGTGTGACGTTTTTAGATCAAGTTTATATTTATAGTGTTGTATTGCCTGTCATGATTATAGCTAAATAGTTTTTTTTTTAATTTAAAAGATATAAATATTTTTTAAATATGCGTCAGTTACCAGAAGGTCAAGTACTTGACCTTGTCTGTAGGTGGGGTACTTGAATATTATCTAAAGATTGGGTACTTGACATTAATCTGAAGGTCACAATGGCCCTGATACATATTGCATGCAATAAAGATTACACCGAGTGTAGAATTACAGATAAGGTGACAGGTAAAATATGTCGGTAGTTGTTTGAAATTGTTTGAAAAGTAACCGGAAGATAACTTTGTCGGATATAATATGTGCTTTTTGTAACACATTCCTAGCTTATTGTATAATATATAATCAGAGTTATGACAACCATATTTATTTCAAAAACAAACAAGGAAATTACCCTGTTGCTTAGATTATCATGTTTTGATTTACATACAATGTACAGTGAGTGAAAACAGGTATTTATTGAAGATTGTGAGCAGGTGATATTAAAATTTTTGTTCTTTATGTACTTGCAGACGACACATTTTCTAACCGACTGATCCTGTGGAAAAGATAAGAAGTAGAGTAAAGATGCCAGAAGGCAGTGACGGTTACGTTAGGGCAGAATTTCAAACTGATGATGAACAAGAAGACAGCAAAGAAAGTTGCAATCAAGTGAAGTTGGTAAAAAGTCTGCAAAATTTCAGTGGCTATACATCAAGTGGTGGCAGTGATTCGGAACAAGATCCGAGGGACTGGGGTAGAAGTCCTAGAAATGGACATGTACGCTCCAAAACGCTCAATATGCATTCAGACCTGCATGGTTGCCAGAGAGGTCTTCAATCTAAAACTCGGAGACAACAGTCTCATTCTTATCAAAAGTTGCAAGAAAGAGCTAGTGAACAGGGAAAGAAAGCTACAAGCCTACCTGACAAACAGAAAATAAGAAGGCGAAGAAAGAGACAAACGTCCTGCAGCTATGGCGAAACTAAGAAAGACAGTAACCGAGTAAGCTGTATTCTACGATATTTGAATGTTGATAACGGAACAAAGAGTTATGTTGCAAAAGAAAAATCTATCGATAATTCCATATTGATCAGCAAGGACAACAAGAAATTAACTGACTTTGATAAAGATACTGACAATATCAAGAGAGAAGTTGACTCAAGTGAAAAAAGCTTTGAAGGAGTTAAAGATAATAAAGAAATGTATGAGATTGATGAAGAAAAACTGAAAGAAAATTCATCAGTCAGCACCACTGATGACAAAAAGGATACTGAGAAATCTGATCCTGTTGCTAAGCTAGTAAAAGTTGATAAAGACAGGTTGAACAGTCGGGCATCTTTGAAGATGTGTACAGCCAAGAATACGACAAAGTTGCAGACTGACATGCTTGAGAAGCAGAAACTCAAAAAGGAAGATGCTAAAACTTGTAAGGAAATGGAGAACCAGTTTGGAAAGATGTTCAGCAATGACATACGGGATGTGGAAAAAAACAGTATCCATGACAAACTTATTGTCAACATGGAACAGGGAAAATCAAGACAGAATTTCCAATTAGATAATAGGGATGTAGAAATAATGTGAGTACTTTTTTGTTTAAATTTTTTTTTTTTTAATTTTCAGTATTTATTGCATTTTTTTATCTAAAAAAATCTTGTACTATCAGACTCAAGTCTGCCAGCCTTGTCAAATTGATAAGCAAATGTTTTACAGTTTAGACTTTGAGAAAACCCCTAAATTCAACAAATATTCTTCCAACTTAGCTTTTGTCTGCTTGATATATTTCCCTATATGTCAGAATGGACTGAATTAAACAATTTGGACCTGTTTGTGCTATTAGAAGAACAAAATAATCAATTTGTTTAGCCCATTATATTGCTGATTTGTTCATATATTTTTATTAAACTTTTGAACGTCACCCTGGGTTTGTTGAAGTTTGACTTAAATTGGTTCAATTCAACATTATTTCTGTCACATCTCATTTGACAGTTACTTCAATTAGTTATGGAAAGTGTGTTGAATACACGTACAAATGATTTTTCTACAATTCAATGAAAAGTTATCATATCATTTGAAGGAAACTTTTTTTTAAATCTTCATAGAAATAAACATATGCCCATCCCAGCTCTCTAAACATGCAATATTGAAGCATTTAGATCTTTAGGTCTATTTTATACTGGCAAGTGTGATGTTAGAGTGATGCAGTTATGATTTATCAAATTTATCGCATCTGAAATCCTGGGCTGTAAGTTCTTTTTGAGAATAATTACGAAGGCAATTTTTAATACGGTTCACTTTTACTTTTTTGTTCACTAAAAACAGGGGCCTTGTTAAGGCACCTTCAGTATATATCTGAAAAAGCTCCTCTACAATCACAAAAGATCGTTCACAAAAGATTTTCTGATTTCTTCCACAACAATTTTGAAGTCATAATTGAGTGAGATAAAGTCCTGCAATAGGATGACTTCTTAAATGTTACAATATTAATGCTTATTTTAGGGAGAGCAGAAATGTTGAAACTGAGGAAACCAAATTGAAAGCAGTTCTTGACCCAAAAGCTGTTTATGAAAAGGAAAAAATGGACAAAAGCGATAAAGAGAAACCTCTCAATGGAAAAAGGGATGAAGAGAAATCAGTTGATGATAAAAACAAAAAGGAGGAGTCTCTAGGATTTGAAGTGAAGTGTGAAAGTTTGATGGAGACAGAGCCAGAAAGTACAAACTTAGAGGTAAACTTTGTAGTATGGTAGATACTATTGCACCAATAATGTGTTTACCCTATGGTTTCAATATGCAGTGTCCATGTTCTTTCCTGTAATGTGTCAAACATTTTAGGTATTTGATGAATATTTTGTTTCATAGAATGTACAAAGTAATCTGATATCTAGGAATTTTACATGGAATTTTTTCTTTCCTTTAAATGATGGCTAGATCTATATAAGGCAGAAAAATGTAAAACTTTTCAAATTCTTGTGGTTTTTAAAGCAGAAGTGATCAAAATACAAGGAAACAAAAACATAATTCACACCCTTATTGTTACCATCTTCAAATCCTGAATGAAAGGTATTTTTGAAAAAATGCATGACCTCTCAAAAATTATAAGAGGGGAGGTGGTCCTGATGTTAACCCTTTATGCCCTGCTTTAAGCAGGGCAGTCTGTCTGTCTATGCAGTTTGATAGGCTATGTTCAGCGTTGGTAGCTAAACTTTTGTATTTTTATATTGAAATCCCGTAAATTTTGAATGGAATGTTCCAAATTCAAAGGAGGACAAATTAATTAGACAAATATAAGGTTAAGGATTAATTAAGAGCTGGTCTAGTGGTTATGGTGTTTGCCTCTCAACCTTGCGACCATGTGTGACACAAGCCTTATTTGGACCACTTTTATGTTTCTTTGTGTGAGGTGGGTACTGATTGAATGAATGAAGTGCAGTTTAGTTTCAAGCTTGCAACACATTAGCTAAGATAGAGTAAACTAGATAGTCACTAAACTTAATACAAAAGAATGCCAGATTAGTCAGAATTTAGGTTCCATCATGTTCGACCTGAAGCAGTCAGAGGGTCATCATGGGTCTTTTTCCACTAGTATATGTTTGAAAGCAGCAAATACTGATGGTATGATGGAATTGACCAACCCCCACTCCCCCAGGCCTTCAAAAAAATAACATGAGATAACCTTTGTTTTAAGGACATTTTAAACAATGTAACTTTTATTGTTATTACGCTGATATTGTGGTGTTTTATGCGCAATATATCACTGTAAAAAGGGAGAAAATAAATCACTGTTGGGTCAACATCCTTAGAAGGCAACTGACTAAAATTTCTAATAACTTTGTAATAAATTTGGGAAAAATAACAAGGAGTCAGAGTACTAACAAATTTATGACTTTGTTTTGTTATTGTCTTATTATATTAATTTCTGGATATTATGAGAAACCAATTTACCAATTTATTAAAAAAAATCAGTACCTTTCTTTTCATATAGCATTGTGCAATTTAAATCTTGTTTAAAGCTTTAAACTTTAAACAGTATATTTTAAAGTCTATACACAGTTAAATATTACTAAAATGAGGTGTAGAAATATTGGCAAATTTATAAAACAAAGTGAAACTCCCTAATCTAGCTTTTTGGGGTTTAAAAGAAAATCAATAGATATTTTCAGTGAAATTGTGTTTTTAACTGGTAATTTTTGCAAAAATTTTTGTTAAAAACTTTTCCTTTTAAAAATTTTGGAAATAACCCTTTGTTTTTTAAAAGGGGTTTTTTTGGGTCTTAAACAAATTTGTAAAGTAATTAAATGTAAAATTATTTTACATGAAACCAGTATGCCCAAAGGGACCTGCCAGTTATAACTGTTGTGGGGGAGGGAGGGGAGGACAGGGGATGGGTTATGCAGGAGGGTGGGGAAAGAGGAGGAAGCATTTTACCTTATTATACATCTGAAATTTAAATTTAGATTCCTTTCAAAGGTTGTATATATTTTTAAATAGATTTTTTATATTAACTTTTTAAAGGTTGGGTTTCCCACAGGGGGGAAAAACCAATTTAAAAACTATTAAAAAATTATTCTTTTCCCAATATGCAAAATAGTAAAGGCATTTTTTAAACGGGTTTTTTAAATGACGTAAAAAAAAAAAAAAATTTGGTGTCATGAGAGAAATCATCCGACAAAAATTAAATATGAAGCTAGGTCTTTTTTAAAACACCCCAAAATGTACAATGTTGAGTCATACAAGGTTATGTACTTTATTATATTAATTCTGAACTGTCTAGATTGTTTTATACAGCGAGAATGATTTGCCTATGGCACCAGAACTTAGCCACACCAGTTTGTACATAATTGCAGTCTCATTTATACTAGCTGGTCATTGTTACCACTCTTGATATCTTAAATGGACTGATCCAACTTATCAATCTGGACCAAACCATTAATCATTTTTAGGGAAAATTTCAAATTATGTATACATTAACAGTGCAGTCCTTATGGTCATATCAACGTTCCAGGGGAGTGTGCTGGCCCTGAAAATGCCCCCTGGCCCTTTTTAAAAAATTTTTTGCCCTTTTTTTTTCTAAAAGCTGCTTTTTAAACAGGAATAAATATGTTTTGCTGAATTTCCCCCACTTTTTAAAATTTTTTTTAATTAAAATTGCTTTTTTGTTGAATTACCCAAAAGGTTTTTAAAATATCCCCTTTTAAATTGTTTATTCCCATTCACATGTACATATATAGCCTGAGATAATGGTTACTTTAAACTGTATTTATAATGAATAAGGTGAAGTCATTGACCTTTGATACAAAGTCCTTGATATAAAACACTAGTCATTTTAAAGTCACTTTTATACAAGTAATCTTACAAGTACATCTTGGAATAAGATTACTGAGTGAGATGGGATATGCCTGGTCAAGTGGTTATGGCTGTTGGCTTCAACCACTTGCCTCTAATCACTGTAAATTTGAATCCAGTGCCAGCAGGGACTTTGGATTCTTTTATGTGAGGATCAAGCTAGCCTGAGCTAGAATATAGAGCTTTGGTGGTTAAGTAATTCATGGAGGGGCATCTGAGGCATTCCTCCACCAGGAGGGCTTGAAAGTCGCCATGTGACCTCTAAACCATGTTGCTGCTACATAAAACCCAACCAAATTAAAAACTAAAAAAAAAACAATTGAAGAAGAATATAAAAAAAGAACAAAAAAATGAATAAGAGATAGATAATTATATCTTTTAATACTCCAGATAATTATATCTTTTAATACTCCAGTCTATATGAACCCTGGGTAATATTTAAGGTAGAATTTGATTATTTTAATAATGATAATCCTGCAAAAGACCCTGCACATTATACTTGACAATCAAATTTCTGTTATTGAATGCCTCTACAAGTGAGATATATCTTTACAATTGGTTAAAGGGGTATGGGAGATTACATTTCAGGAAGACATAAAGATTTTTTTTTTCCTTACGTTTTTTACAATATCATCTTCAAAATCTAAAGTGACATTTTTTTCGTAAACAAAACCAAGGACGTTACCATGACATCAATATTTCGGAAAGGTTTTATAAAAAAAAATGTAAACAAAAACTAAAATTATTGCCATGACATCAATATTTCGGAAGGCTTTTGTAAAGACAAAATGTAAACAAAACTAGGGACATTGCTATGATATAATTTTTTTTGATCATAATGGGTTTTAATTTGCACACCAACACTTTTAAAAGGTTACTGTCCATCTAAATTATCTTGAATGGGAAAGGAGGACCTGTATACTTAGTGCGGGCTGGCAATATATAAGGTACACTGTAGCTTAGTTGCATTCAAATATAACAAAGTTAACTTAAAAGAATTTATTTCCCTAAATGTACATAATAAGAGTCAGCGAGCTTCATTATGATTCATACTTAGATGCTGAAATGTCTTTAGTTATGTGCTGTATAACTAGGCTATGTATTACTTACAGCAAAAAGCTTTGGTACTTGAATCTTTACATATAACAATGGATTGTTCCAAAGTCCATTATGCATAATCAGTGATGTCAGGGCTAAAACCAGTGTTTATAACCTTGGCCAAAAAGATCTATACTTTGACCTTGAGATTGTTTATGTTTTACCTGGATAAAGTAGATTACTGTACCGAGGTATATATATATATTTGTCATATGTTACTATTTATAGCATACAAATAATTGCTGGGGGGATAAAAGCGACCTCAGTTACTTTCAGGTGCATTGGCAGTTTGTCATAAACGAATTACATGTATTTATAGTTCCTGTTTGTCACTTAAAACAAATTAGAAGTTTTGATGAAGAATGATATAAATTGTCAATAGTACTGGCCTGTCACAAGGTGTAACCCAATTATTAGATGAAATTGGAAGATAAACAAAATTTGTATCTAGTATTTTTTTGCATTGATAGAGCAGCATTTTTATGGCTAGAGCATAGAGGTCATCATGCTCTGATCAATACTGTGTAATTATAAAAAAATTAACTGGATTATATTTACTTTGAAATAATCAATGCACACAAGGTTAAAGAACAAATTTTGAAAATGTTTCACTGTACAACCTCTCTTATAATTTATTAATAAGGTATTTTTGTGTAGTTAATTTATAATAAAAAAAAAATAATGATAAGACTTGGCTGCTTGTCTTTCAATCTAGACAAAATCATTTATCTTTTTTAGTGAAAATTTCAAAATAGATACTGACTGATTAGTGAACAATATAGACCATGATCACAGCTTTGTCTGCACTGATTGCACAGGTAGATTCAGTTACTGTCTGAGTTGGCTTAAATCTGGTTAATACATTTTGGCAAAAGAAAAACTTGCTGCATGGTCTATAACTTAATTTTAATTTAAACTGTTTATATTAATCTGTAATATCATTTTATTGTTATCTTAGAAAATAATAAATATTTGGAGACCATTATTTAACCCGCTAAATTTCTTAATATGGACTTGTCCAGCTTCTGTTTTTGGAACTGTCCATTATCAACTTTAGGGATATCAAGATTAAATTTTTTATAAATTTGCCATGCATGTAAATAACGTCTTTTATCTTTATGTTTCAAAAGTAGCAAACAAAATAAAGATAGAACATCTGTTGGGAGATTTTTATTTAAATTGTGTGCATTTTAACCTGAACTGGCAATATTGTATTTTGTTTAAAATAAAGTACATTGCTTGAAACTGAAATTTATATTGATATCCCTAAAATTGATTATGAACAGTTCCAAAAATACACACTGGACTATTCCATTTAAGAAATTTAGAAGGTTATGGGTTAATTAATCAGATGTAACTTCAGCTGGGTAATAATATTTCAAACTCGCACAATGTTTGACTGTTACTTTCAGAGAGCTGAGCTGTTGTGGTATAGAAGTAAAGGTTCTGAAGTGGATAGGTTAAACAGCGTGGACGAGACAAGCTGTAGTTTCTCGGAGGATCGTTGCCCACTGTCTACAGAATGGCAGAGTAGCTCTGTGTTCTACTGTACCACAGATTCCAAGAGCGTCGCTGACATTTACACTGCAAACTGCCAGGACTCTAACATATTTGAAGAACTGTTAGAGGACATGAAAAAGTAAATACCAATTCTTTGATAATTTTGGGGTTTTTTTGTTTGTTTTTTTGTTGTTGTTTTTTTTTGCAAAAAAAAAAAAATTAAAAATAATACAAATGCTTTTCAATTATAGGTACTATTTTAAATGTGATGTTTACAAGGTATATTTTATTCAGTGTTAATGTGACAGTTTAATGATTGCTTTGAATAAATTGAAAGAGATTTTTTATAGAACTTGTAGCTTGCTCAGTTAGAACATACTGTGTAAATATTATTATTTATCTTTTTACAGCGGAAGGTCAGTGTATGTATCAGAGATGTTAAAGATGAAGATCATTGGTTAGTTCATACATTTACTTACTTAGTTGATATTCCTTTATTATATTCCCTTATTGTACAACAATTTGTTTAATCATTGGGCAGTGAAGGTCTACTCAGTACTGGTGTAATATTTAGCCTTATAGCCTTGGACTAGAAGTTTTCATTCAATTAATTTCATTCTTTTAATGCAATTATTTTAAGTTTCATGAACTGTTTTCACCAAGCATGAATAAGGAATTGATGTATTTACAAAAAGCAATTAAAACATAGATATAAGTAGCCAAACTGCTGGAGAAAGTCTAGCATAAATTGAAATGTTTATCGCACAACTTAGTCACCACAGATGATTGTACTCAGGGTGCTCATACAGTTTACTTGTTAACTTACGATATCTGTTTTCAGAATATATTGATATTAAGTCGAGAAGGGCAGAGCAAATTCAAGGCAGTGACAACAAAAGTAAGAATGAGTTAGTTGACAATATGAATGCTGAGGAAAACGAATGCAAGATTGATGAAGATGAAAAGAAAAATGAAAAAATTGATGGTGAGACTGTTGATGATGTTGATAGTCTTGTGAAAATGGAGAATGGGTTGGAAGGAGAGAAAGAAAGAAAGTTTGATAATGATGAGAAGGAAGAATCGGAAATTAGCTCTATAGAGGACGATACTGATGACCAAGTACCTGACAGTGAGAAAGTTGTTATCATCCCTATTGAAGATGGTACTGATAAAGAAGCTAACATCAACTCTGTTGAATATGTAGTTGAAGATGTTGATGAACCAGTGGAAACTAAGATTGATCTTTCAGCTGATGACTTGATGAAATATCTGGATGATGGTGAACAAAATGACAGTGAAACAAATAATTATAAGACATCAATGAAAATCATTGATGCTGAGGACAAAGATGAAAATGAAGATATTGCATTGTTAGAAGATACAGAACATGATAAATCAAAGGTAGAACCAAACATGAAAGAATTAAAAGCTGGATTGTTTATAAAAGATGCAAATACATATTTGAATAGGGACATATTTCTGAAGAAAGGTTCAAATGGCAATTCAGATTGCCAAACATTTGGAGAGCCACAGAAAAGAAAAGTGCATCCTTATTCAGAAAGAAAGATGAAATCAGACCAAACATGCCCTGGTAACAGTAAAGATGATTGGACAAAGATAAGGAGAAAGAAAATCTTCTCTGTTACAATACCAGAGAAAGAATGTTGCATAGGTAAGTTCATATATGTTAATTTATTACACAGAGGTCATGAATTTGCTTTATAATGTTTTACTATGCTTTCCTTGAATACATGCCTAGAAAAGAAAAGTGTTTTCTGTTACATTATACATGTAGTTTTTATTCTAATTTAACTATGAAATTCTATACTGGAGACAATTTTTCCCCTATTTTTTAGCGCCAAAGAGGAAATGGACTGGAAGGGGTTACAGTATGTTTGGTTGTGGAAACTTTGGACGCAGGTGTTCAGCAAACAGTGGGAGTGGAAAGGGCGGAGAGATGGGTGGCAACCAGAGTCCTAGCTCAAATGTAAATATTCCCTCTCAGCCAATCGGAAATAATTTAATTTAATTTCAGTAATGCATAATTTCAGTAATGCATTTCAGTTTGGATCATTAGAAATTGAATAAAATGACTAAAACCATATGATTTTTGACATAACCCTGCAAAATGTTTTTGTTTTTGATTTTCAAGTTGTGTCCTCCTTTTTATATTCTCATTGATATTATTGCTTTACTTAATAAAAAAAAGACTTGAATTTGCATTAAATTTTTGAGAAATTTTTTTTTTTTGCTTTTCAAGATATGCACAGCCTGATCACCAATGACATAGACTTGAATACTTTTTTTTATGAACACTTGGCCTGATCACCAATTACACATGCTGGAATACTTTTGGTAGCTGATTTGGTCAAAGATATCTTTGTTTTTTTTTATCTCCAGTAAAATACATCATTTGACTACAAAATGATGGCTTTTTGTATTATTTTTCAGAAGAATAATGAAGACAAAAATATGGAAAATCGTAGAAACCAGGGCAATAATGATAGGGAATCTGAAGATAGAAATAGTAACAATAGTAACAATTCTGGACAAAATAATGAGGGTAGAAGCCAAATTGATATAACAGAAACTGAGAGCAAACATCAGCCAACTAGAGGACATGTTGATATTCGAGTACCAGTGCAGGATTATAAAAGATACAGGAAGAAAGATGATGTTGAAGAAAGTAAGAAACATACTAGCATTGAAGATTATGAGTGGCTTGCAAAGATTAGCTATGTTGTTAAGGTAAGAAATGGTTTTGTCTTCCATCCAATGTTGTTTATCCTCTAGCACTGTATTAAATAATTCATGTTAGTTACTTACATAAAGATTGCTAATTACTGATACAGAATTCTGTTCAGGGAACACTGTTAAGTCAAATATCTTGTATATGCTTGGCTCAATAGGGAGAACATCAGATTGTAATCCAGGGTTGCCAGCTTTATCCCTGTACAAGGTGGAGATATTTCCTTGACAATTAATCTCAGGATTTTTTGTTCAAATGGACAATAGCCTCTCACCACTGATTGAGAGATCATGTGGAATTAGTAGCTCCTTGCTGATTGAGAATTTGGAAACAACTGGTTAATTGAAAAAAATGGTATGATAAACCAACTACTTAAGTTTGAGGAAGATAAACAGAGTTAATAAGCTTACAATCACTTATACAGACTGCCATAGAATTTGTCAAAAGCCTTTATATTTAAAGGATCAAAGAGCAATGTTATATACATTTTCTAAAAAAAAAAAGTTTGTTTTTATATATACTTCGGCATAATGATTTGACACATGCTCCTAGTTTTATTTGTCAGAAATGATTATCGTACTAATGTCTTTTAATTGTTTGTAGAAGATTATTGTTAGTCGTTTTAAAACCAGTGATTTATTGAACATGTCATTTTTTTTTTTCAGAATGCTCAAGGTCCAACAATTTCTTTGATTTCAACTCTGTCTGATGAAGAATGGCAGTGCATACTGGGACAGTTAGATATGCCTGCAGAACTTTCACCAGAGGCAATTCATTGCAGTATCTGTATCACAGTTGAATCTTTGCTGAAACACTACGCTCATTGCTTATCAGGCTACAATAGCTGCGACATGTGTGTTAAAATATTTTCCCTCATTTGCTCCCATGTTGCTAAATGTGCGAATGATACATCCGGGTGTATTTGTGAGAGACGCATTTGTAATACCATCAAACTTCTTTCCGATAATAACATTGTAATGCGTATGAGGACACTGTGGTTCAATGTCAGGAAGAAGCTTGCACGAATCCTAGATAACACTGAGGAAGATGTTGTCCAAGAACCAACTCCTGTGGATGAGCCAGTAAGTCGTCGTCCATCTAAAATATTGTCCCACTCTGGACCTCTTCCAAGCATTCCTGAGGGAACAACTCTGACTCTAGCTAGCACATCAAGAAGTGGCTCCAGAGTCCTTCGTAGAAAGAAATTAAGTCTTGCACACGTAGATGAGAAAGCCCAGCGAGATGCAGCAGATGTTGATGATGAACCAGAAGAAGTAGATTCTAAATATGGTCTTGCAAGAGCAGAAATACCAGACGAAGCTGACGCTATTCCTACATCATCAGAAGATGGAAGTGTGGATTCTTCAGGGTCAATGAGTGCTGAAGGATCAGGACAGTTTGGAATCACAACAGGTGCTACTAGATTTAAAAGTCTTCCTATGGGACCCCCTGGTCACGGTGAACCATACTTTCCAAGTTTCAAGGATAGACCTACTGGGAAAAAAGGGATAGGTAACAAATAATAGCTTGTTTGATATTTTTTTGCTATTATTTGCCTAATTTGGGTAAAATATAATTATTTTTTAAATGTTCAACTGTAATAATAAAAGTTTCAAAACAACTGTGAGAAGTTAAATGGTCATATAAAGGATCATTAAAGGGATTTAGAAAAACAAATTGTAGTGAATAAATTGAGCAGCTCTGGCGACTTTCTTCACACTTCTGTATATATGAATCCTGTTAGGGAGTGTTGACTATGTTAAGCTATCCTCTTAGCTTACAGAAGGAAATGTCTGTGTTCTACACTGCATGGTGCATGAAATAATGAAAAGGGTGTCATCTGGGTTTTTTCTCCAGCACTTAAGATGAAAAATCGATGTATGACCTTCAAAACACGAACCAAAATAAAACATAAAAATTCATCTACTATTTCCTTGGTTTTTAGGAGAGGTGGTTTATGCCAATGTCCATCAGCTGGTCACTGTAAGTACTATTTGGGAAAAGTTTAAAATGCAGTACCTGATTGAGGCAAAGTTAGCAAAACATTATACAGAGGAAGGTGTCATCTTGCAAGAGTTCAAGGTATATTCCTTTATTACATCATTTAGATTCATTTTTTGGGGGGCAGCACAGCATTTTGCATTGAAAGTTGTTTTGTTTTACATGTACTTGTTTTTCTTTCTTTCATTGGGGATTTGGTTTTAAGCCATAAAGACTTCCCAGGTAGAGAAAAGCGTCTGATGCCTTGTATTTTATATGAGCTGACAATAGATCCAACAACCTAATAGGCTTTTGAGCCCATCTCTCATGCAGACTGTTTCATAGGATGTGGTGGCTTTAATTTTATAGGTGATATTGGTCCATATTTCTGTATGAAAATAGTGTCTCTCTCTGATGTCCGGTCCTTTGACAATAAACCAGTTACAACATCCTTGACAAAAGTGGTTTTTGTTATAAAGTACTTGAATTTTTTTTCATGATAAGGATGTTTTCACAGAGATGGAGATGAAGACAACATACCTATCTGTAATCTGGCATAATTTGTTGCATTTTGATATACATATCAAGTAGCATTTAGAAAGCTATTGTAAGCAAGTGTTCATACATTTAGATTTAGATTTTTAAATCAAAAACGCTATGTATCTGTACTGTACATTCATGTTAAAAGGCTATGTACAAAGGAAACAAATTATTAACACACATTTTTCTATTCCAGAGTAAGTTAAAAATAAAAGGCCTCAGATATCAGAATGATTTTCAGTGGGTGAAGGTCACTCACCTTGGAAATGGAATGACAGGAAAATGCCACCTTGCTAATGACTTTGAAACAGATTTCAAATT